GAAGTTGTCAAAAATGAAATAGAACACATAAAGATTGATATCCTCGGCATTAGTGAGCTGAAATGGACTGGTTTTGGCCATTTTGAATCAGACAACCATGTGATATACTATGTCAGGAATGACAGTTTGAAGAGGAATGGTGTGGCATTGATCATCACAAAAGATGTTTCAAGATCTGTCCTGAGGTACAATGCTGTCAGTGATAGGATAATATCCATACGCCTACAAGGAAAACCCGTTAATATGACTATTATTCAAATTTATGCACCAACCACCACAGCCAAAGATGAGGAAATTGAAGACAGTGCAGAGGAAAAGTAAAAGGATAGCTGTGTTCCAAAAACATCAGGGAGGCCAGGGTGGCTGGAATAGAGGGAAAATGGGGACATTAGGAGAGGAGGGGCTTAGAGAGGTGTTAGGGCCAGACTTCCTAGGGCCTTGCTGGCCACTGTGAGGATTTTGGCTTTTACTCTAAGGGAAGTCAAAGTAAGATTTTAAGCAGAGGAGTATCCTGACCTATGTTTTAAAAGGATAACTGTAGCTTCTGGGTTGAGAATTTACTCTAAGGGGTGGGGTGGAGACCAAAAAAGACCAGTTAGGGGGCTACTGTATGTAGCAATTCAGGTGAGCAACTGTGGTGGCTCAGCTCAGACCAGAGGGCTAATAGTGAGGGTGCAGAAAAGAGATTGGATGCTGTAACTGTTTTGAAGGTAGAGTGACAGTATTTCCTGATGGATAGGATGTGTGATGTGAAAGAGAGGAGTTGACCATGGCACTATGATTGTTGGCTGAACATTTGAAGGATGAGGATGCTACTAGCTGACATGAGAAAGGCTACAGGAAGAGCAGGCTTGGTAGGAGGAAGTGTAGTATCAGGAGTTCAGTTTTGAATGTGGGTTTTGAGTGGTCTCTTGGAGATCCAAGTGGAAATGTGAAGTGTAGGCAGTTGGATGTATGATCTTGGTTTTAAAAGAGAGGTCTGTGTTGAAGATACAGATTTGAGAATTGACAGTCTATAAATAATATTTAAAGCTGCAAGACTGGAGGAGATTACCAAGGAAATGAATGTATTTAAGAGAAGAGGGCCACAAACTGAATGCTGGGCACCCCAGTGGTTAATTGGGGAGAGGAAGAGGTTCCAGCCAAAGAGACTGAGAAGGAGCAATCAGGGAGGAAGGAAAAAAAGACCAGGGAGTCGATGGCCTAGAAGTCAAGGAAGATACTATGTCCACGAGCAGGGCACTATGGTCTGTGTGGTCAAGTGAGGATTGGCCCTTGGATTTAGCACCATGATATCATCATGTCCTTGAGGAAGACAGTTTTAGAAGAGTGGTAGGGGCAAAAGCCTGATGGCAGAGGCATTAAGAAAGATGAGAGAAGAATTGGAAGTGGTGAGTGTGGTCACTTCATTGGAGAATTTTGCTGCAAAGGGAAAAAAAATGGGGCAGAAGCTGGTGGGGGAAAGGGTCAAAAGATTTTTGAGGGAAAAAAACTGCATGATTTATGTGCTGGTATGAATGAGCCAATAGCGAAAGAATTACGATGTACAAAAATTTGAATGTACAAGATTCTGTTTACCGTGATGTAAAAGTTGTTTTGTCTTTAACTTGGAAGACATTTTAAGTTATTTTTATATTTTTGGGAAATTTTTACAAAGTTCCATTAAACATTACTTCTCTTCAAGATAACTTATAAATGTTTTAGTGAAAACAAGTTATCTTTTTACTTCAGCCAGTGCAGTAATATGAAAGTAAATTATTACTGTTTCATAAAAATTGTGGTTTAATAACCATAGAGGAATTTTGGGTTTTCATGTATACATGGCTGATAATTTTTTCTCCTCAGGTATTTGGTTATGGAATTAATGGATGCTAACTTATGTCAGGTTATTCATATGGAGTTGGACCATGAAAGAATGTCCTACCTTCTTTACCAGATGCTTTGTGGTATTAAACATCTGCATTCAGCTGGTATAATTCATAGAGTAAGTAGTGATACCATGTTACTCTTATTATTTAAATCACAATCATTTTGTTGTTATAATACTCCAGAGATAAGAGACTTTAATAGTTTCTTTTTTTTTTTTTTTTTGGTCGGTGTTGAAGGTCTAAATAGACTATGGGATTGTGTTATATTTAAAAATATTGTTGTATTTAGAGAACGTTTGTAGAACACCTGGTTTATCCAGGCTGCATGCTAGGCACTGTGGATGCAGCTAGGAGGGAGGGACCACACGGCTCTGCTGTCGTGTTGCTGCTCAGCTAATACTGCAGAAAACTTTTTTTGACTTTTAATTTTGATATAATTTAAAACTTGAGAAAATTTGCAAGAATAGGACAAAGAACTACCAGATAACCATTTATCTAGATTATCCTATTATTTTACTTATTTATGCCATATTTGAAACCCCATTTTTAATGAGTAAGGATTTGGGGAGGGAGAAGAATTAGAGTTGAAGAAGAAAAGGAGATAGTTGCTTGAGAAATCTTAAATTATGTCCCAAATACCTATTTCTTACATCCTAAAACTCAGCCACATCCCTGCCCACTTGTGGGAGTACCTCACTCTACAGCCTGTTTAGAATGGCCCCTGAGTAGCCTCCTCCCTGGGTGGAAACTGGGATTTGAAAGGAGGGTGCCTGATCTATCAGGAAGTAACATTTAAAAACCATGGGGATATAATGTAAATCTCTAAACTGGTTTTATAACTTTTTATTATTATTTAACTTGTACAACTCTGCAAGCAGAACATCATGATAAATATTTTTGAAATTGTGGTTCAAATGTATATAAATAAAGTATTTGTCATTTTAACTATTTTTAAGTGTGCAATTCAGTGACATTAATTATATTCACCATGTTGTGCAACCATCACCACCATCCATTTTCATGTTCTTCATCCCCCCAAACAGAAATGCAGTACACCTTAAGCAATAACTCCCCATTTTCCCCTCCCACCAACCCCTGGTAACCACTAATAAACTTTTATGTCTATTCATATTTGCCTATCCTAGATTTCATAAAAGTAGGATTATATGATATTTGTCTTTTGGGGTCTCATTTATTTCAACATAATGGTTTATAAGTTTATCTATGTCATAGCATGTATCAGGACCCATTTTCTTTATCCATTCATCGGTTGATGGACACTTGTGTTGTTTCTAGCTTTTGTCTTTTATGAGTAATGTGAATGGTGGTTTACAAGTTTGTGAGTAGCAGTTTGGGTCCGTGCTTTCAAGTCACTTGGGTATACCTAGGAATGTGAATGCTGGGTCATATGGTAAAAGATATGTTTATCTTTGAGGAATGATAGAATATTTACTGGGCAGTGTTTCATTTTGTTGTACATAGGGTTGCTATGAGTTGGAACTGACTTGACGGCACCTAACACCTACTTCTGTAGTGATACCGCCTCGGAAACCCAAGGAGGGGTCGCTATGAGTTGGGTCCAACTCGAGGGCACATCACAACAACAACAACATAATTTTGAGTGAGACTTGAGGCAGAGATAATTTAATTTACTTGGAAATAAATGCTATTAGCAATCTCTAAATTATTTGCTGCTTTTGTTGACAGTCTTTAGATAATATTTTTTAAGTTTAAAAAAAATCATTTCTTTTCTCTGAAGTAAACGTTTGTGTATGGGGGAAAATAGTGGTATGAGAAAGATTAACCTATTAATAAAGAGAAAAATGGATTGTTTATTGATGGTGTTGTTGTTGTTATGTGCCGTCGAGTTGGCCCCAACTCATAGCGACCCCTCCTTGGGTTTCCGAGGCAGTATCACTACGGAAGTAGGATTGCCCAACCTTCCTTCCGAGGAGTGACTGGTGGGTTTGAACCGTGTATTATTAATTCTTTTGAGCAGTTAGTTAGTTGCCAGGAAAGGTTGGTCTCATAACAGCTGCTGAGTGGGAGGCCAGATAAGGTGCCAGATAAAACTCTGCCCTCATCCCTCCTCATGAGCATCAGTTCAGGGACAGGAGGCCAGGACCAGGGTGCAGGCATCTCTTGTCCTCTTAGTGCTTGGCGGGGAGAGGGTGCTGGGTGACTGACAAGTACCCTGATTCACCAACCAAAGTATGCTGTTACTTAGAATATAGCTTTTTGCTGCCACCAAGTGTTCAGTTAAAATAATGTTGCTGAATTTGCTTTAAAAATAGCAATATTAGTCTTTTTTAATTGAAAGTAATAACTTCCCAACATATTATTCAATGTCTCTTCCTAAAACTTTTATAGACCTTTACATAAATTAAGGTACTCTTGGTATCTTTTAAATACGTTATTTTGTTTTAGAATTCATGCTTTAGAATAATTTCTCATGTTGTTGTTGTTATGTGCCATTGAATGTTAGGTCTTATTAATTTTGTAAGAGGAAACTGTTTGCCTTTTTGGTTTCTTCCCTCTGGGGCCCAGAGGTGAATGAGAAAACAGTATCATCATGTTAATAGAGTCCTTGTAAGAGCTGCAGCATTGACATGTCTATTTGATGGACGATTTGGGTCCTGACAGCAGGTTAGATGGGGTCCAAAAAAGTGTTTGGTTTGACAGCACAGTGTTTAGGAACCTATGAACACCTGAAAAAATGATTCAATTGAGCACTTCTTTGTCCTGTTCACCCTTGTTCTTGCCACTTCCCCCCTTTGTCTTATACCTACCTTCTGCACACATTTGTGGGACCTGCCAGGCTCTTGAAGACATTTGTGTTTGCTTTACAAATGTAATGCATGCTCATTGTGAGAAAGTTTCAAACAGCACAGGTGTATAAATGAAAAAGTGAAAGGCCCCTATTTGCTTCTACTCCTCCTACCCTTCCTAGGTCCCAAGTGATTAACCATTAGTTAACTAATATGTTAACCATTTTGTATAAACTTTCCCAGTCCCTTTTCCTGTATATAATACCTCATGCATACATACACACTTTCTTGTTTGTTGTTTATTTGTTTTAATTTTATTGTGGTAAAATATATAGAGAGGTATAGATATAGCCATTAGTACTTTCAAGTGTACAGTTCAGTGAGAATTCACCATGTTGTGAATCACCACTATCCATTTTCATCACCTCAAATGGAAAGTAAGTACTCCTTAAGTAGTAACTCCCCGTTTCTCCTTCCCTTCAACCCCTGGCAACCACTAATAAACCTTTGTTTCTACACGTTTGTCTATCCTAGATATTTTTATATAGGTGGGATCATACAGTATTTGTGCCTAATTTCATTCAGCATGTTTTCAGGGTTCGTCCACGTCATACCATGCATCAGAATTTCATTTCTCTTTATTGCTGAATAATATTCCATTATATGGATTTACCATATTTTGTTTACTGATTTATGTATCGATGGACATGTGGGTCTATGTCCTTGGCTTAGTCTGGAGTTACTGCACATGTTTGTGCATAGTTTCAATGGGGCACGGAGTACCAGGAAGTGCCCAGTTGGGGCACCTGGGTCCTCACATACTCCTCTCAGCCCCTGTGGTATACAGGTAGCCCTAACTCTTGCTCACCCTGCCAGTTTGTTGATTCTCTCCTCACCTGCTAGTCCCTGGCCCAAGGAGTCAATTGTGCCTGGCAGCAGACAAGCTATAACTTGTAGTTCAGTAGGACCTTTGCTCTACCCTTGGCAGGAGGTCCCCTTTGAGGACTGGGACCTCCACAAAGCTCTGAGTTGTGACGAAGGAAAGCACTAGGTCATGGGGCATGATGGTAGGTGGACCACTCCTGCTCCAACCCCTTGAGTCTTGAACCTATGTATTCTTTCTTCAGGGGGCACAGCATCATATGTTGTTGTGTGCCATTGAGTTGATTCCAACTGATAGTGACCCTATAGGACAGAGTAGAACTGCCTGATAGGGTCTCCAAGGCTGTAATCTTTACAGGAACAGATCACCAGGTCTTTTTTCTCTCAGGGCCACTGGTGGGTTTGAACCACCAACCTATTGGTTATTAGCCAAGCCCTTCAACCATTGTGCCATCAGGGCTCCATACAACACCAAATAAAAGTCTCCAGTGTAGTTCAGTGTTGCCTCTGAGCTGACATTTTAGCTGTGCCATTCCAGCATTCTATAAACCTAGCTCTGCTGCATGGTGCAGTGTATAATGTGCCCTTTGGATGCCATGCCTACATATACCTCCTTCAGTGTGAAATAGGCTCCTGTTTGGCTGTGTAGAAATTCACACCTATGAATAAGACATTCTGAAGGCCCCAAGAAAGTGGTGCTGGCTGAGCCTCTGTGGGCAAGAAAGGCAAGCCCATACTCAGAATAGGTATCTACCATCTGTCCATGTAAGGGCAAACTGCTAGTACCTCCAGGAAGGAAGGAGTCCAGTGTGGCTGGTTGGTGTCCTTGAGTAGTGCTGTGCCAGGGGCTCAATAATGATGTCTGTTACTGACAGGTTGGACATTCAGCAGTATCAGTAGCTAAATGGGGCTTCACAAGTGGGAGTCCATGCTTTTGGAGCCATATGTAGCCTCTGCCACTGTTGCCACTCCATTCATGTTCCTGTTGTGACAGTTCTGGAATGACTGATAATGAAGGCTGAGTAGCATCTATTCACCAAGTCAGTCATATTGTCTGCATGGTTACTCAGTGTCTCTTTCATGGCAGATGCTGTCCAGTAGGCGTTGGCATGTCGTACAAAGATCTTTACACTTCATACCCACTCCCATATGTCTATTCACATATCTTCTTGCTTCCAATCTTCCAGTTCCTTTCCTTCCAAGCCCTGACCAGATGGCTAAGCCATTGACTGCTATCTGGGAATATATATTCTTACCTCAGGCCACCTCTTCTACCCAGATATCCACTGTCTTTTAAGACTGCTCCTTTGTGTGGCTATAATAAAGCTACTGTCCATTTATAACTTGCATACCCACATACCAAGCCAGTCCATTTATAAAACAACTTTATTGGATTCTCTTTATGGCCATAGGTACAAGCTGAGGGAGGGGTATGATGTTACTGTGGGAGAGGTTTTATGGGATAT